TGAATGGTTGAAGATGGTAAGGGAGGAAAGCGACGAAAATTGTAAAATCAAGCCTTTAGTCAACGAACTAATTGTATCCAATGATGAGCTGAAAGAGATGGTTACAAAGTTTAGGAAGGAAAGGAAACAAATGATTGTAGAGATTAGACAACTTCGGGAAAAGTTCCACTACGCCATTGCAATAGTATTAATAGGATTTGGACTTCTTCTTTTCTTGTTTAAATATTAAGTGTAAATTAAGTTTGGATTCAGACTTCTTTTGTCAACTAAATATTAAGTGTAAAATTGTGGACTTGAAATGCACAATGTGGTAATGTTGGTTGTGTAATGTTGTTGTAATGTTAAGTGTAATGTTGATTGTTGTAATGTTGACTTGAAGTATACGATTGTGTAATGTTGATTATGTAAATATTAAGTGTAATGTTGATTGTGGACTAAATATTAAGTATTAATGTTGATTGTTGTAATGTTGATTGAAATGCACATGTCATGCCTTTGCTTTGTTTGTCAACAAGTCATGCCTTTGCTTTGTTTGTCAACAAGTCATGCCTTTGCTTTGTTTGTCAACATAGAATGGTTGCTTTGTTTGCCAATCAGCACCATTTGAGCAACATTTCAGAGCAACATGTCAACAAAATTTCCAGCAACATTTGAACCAAAATTTCATGAAATTTTTTTTGCAAAATTCCAGCAACATTCAGCAACATTATTAGCATTATTTCAGCAACATTTCAAGCAAAGTTTCAGCAACATTTTAACAAAAATTTCATCAAATTTTCAACAACATTTCATCAAATTTTCAGCATTATTTCAGCAACATTTCAAGCAAAGTTTCAGCAAATTTTGAGCAACAGTTTTAGCAACATTTGAACAAAGATTTCAGCAAAAATTGAGCAACATTTCATCAAATTTTCAGCAACATTTCATCAATTGTTCAGCAACATTTCAAGCAAAGTTTCAGCAAATTTTGAGCAACAGTTTCAACAACATTTGAACAAAAAATTCAGAAAAATTTCAACAACATTTCATGAAAGGTTTTCAATATTACATATCCAACAAAAAAAATCAACGCTAAGATATTGACGTGTGATCCACATGCCCATGCCCACGGCCACGGCCACGACCACGACCACGACCATATAGTACCTAAAAAAAAAGAAAATAATATTACATCAAAGTAACCATAAAATAAAATGGAACTTTAAATGAATGAATGACAAAATAAAAGAGGAAAGGTGAAAAATAAATTACTTCATTACATGCGGGATTATTTGAGGCTTGCGAGTCATAACCGCTTGCATTGTTAAGCAATGCTTGATAGGTTCCATGGATGAAATGCATCGATGGAATTGAAAAAGGCATATTGTGACGAAGAAAACTTGGCTGCAACAATAACAAACACATATCAATTTAAAATGATAATAGTCATCTACAAATAGATTATAAAACTTCTTATTAAACTAACTTACATCATAGGCAGGATACATAAATTGAGACGAAGAAGCTCTAACTTGAGGAACACTCGGCGAGAATGGAGGAAGTTGAGGAGCACTTGAAATAAAGGAGCCGACTGAGGAATACTCGGCGAAAACAAGGGAGGTGGTTTAGGAGCACTTGCCGAAAATAAGGGAGGAGTTTGAGGAGTAATAGACATGGAAGTTTGAGAAGCATTATGTGAACTTGTTTTATTTTTCTTTGCCAACACAAGCTCCAAACCACATTTTGTCCGCCTTCGTCCCTTGCTAGTGCACTCTGTTCTCTTGAGTCCTTTTGCTTGAACTATATTTTTATCTGCTACACCATCCACTTCAAAGCTTTCGGGCCATGTGTCGATGGGGCTTTCTTGTTGAATAGTATTTGAACAAGGCATATTGAATTTTGCGCTTAACATGGTTTCAATGTTTATAATTAATTCATCTGCTTTCTCTACCGTCAAATTATGTGTTTCCTTACTTTCAGAAGCTCTACACGCTACTGTTCTAAATATTGCCATCAATGATCTATAGCGTGAAGTTTGATGCAATCTTACATCAACCTTAATATCATGCCCACACCTACCTTTCACATTTTCAGCTCTTGCTTTTTTAGTCCATCTCTTCAAAATATATTGTGAAGGAATCTCTTTGAATTTGAGGGTGTCTCTAAGGGTCTTCAAACAATGACTACACAAAATGCCCTTCATTTTAAACTTCCTACAATTGCAAGTGACTGAACCATCACACTCCAGCCTCACCTTTATACCATCACTATCAAGAACCGTATAAACGGTACTCTCATAATCATTTTTAGTTTCTTCAATGTTTACTTCAAGGGACTTGACATACTCATCCTGAAATTCTTCATAAATTTTATTTGTGTAAACATCTGCAGCTTACATTTTGCATAAACATGGATAAAACACTCTTCATCCCCTTATCCTTCACCGCCTTATCCTTGAAGATAGAATTTGCATGCCTTAATGCATTTTGCATCAAATGCCAACTGCAAAGGCGGTAGGTTATGTTAGGCATGACAATAGGTATGGCCTTAGCCATTGTAGCATCCTGATCCGGAAAAATTGTTTTTGGAGCCTTACTTGACATTGCCTCTAAGAATCTTCTAAAAAGCCATCTAAAAGAATCGGTGGTCTCATCATACATCAAAGTTGCACCAAATATTACAGTTTCCCTATGATGGTTAAATCCAACAAAAGACGTAAATGGTCTATGTACACTATTTAACTTGTAAGTAGTGTCGAAAGTCACAACATCACCAAATTGCCCATAATCCATGATTATCTGAGCATCAGCCCAAAATATGTTTGTAATATGTTCTTCGTTATCTAATTGGACTGAGTAAAAAAAAGATGGATTCTCCAATGATTTGTCACGAAAATATTGCAAAATGCTACCTGCCTCCCCATATGCTAAACTGTTTTGCCTCTTCGTTCTCAAATAATTTTTTTGGTCCAGTTTTGTGAACCTAAGCGACTCCCTTCCACCAACTTCATTACCCATGAGCTCAAATGCAGCATCAAGACGGATTCTAAATTTTTCGGCTAAATCTATTTCGGTTGCCTGTGATGCAGATATCTTCCTTTGGGATGGTAACATATGCGTACATTCTGCTGGTACAAAGATATGATTATGTTGTTCAACAAAATCCCTAACAAAAAATTTCTGAATATTCCTATCCCACTTAATGACAAGTCGGGCTTGACAACCAGTCCTCACTTCCTGCCTAGGATTTTTTGTTAATGGATCTCTCTTGTTGACAACCCGAAATCCCTCCATATTACAAACAAATTGCCTTGAAGTGATTTGCCTCTCTTTGCTCTTGTTTACATAGCCCCTTCTAATACTAAAGCCCAACCTTCCTCCATAAGCATTATAGAAATCATATACCTTTTGTTCTGTATCAAACGTCATGCGAACTCTAGGCTTCCAATCACAATCACCCTCGTCATTCTCAACATTGTTAGGTTCCATATCAATGTGCCAAGTCATTTAAAAAATAAATAAATGCTCAATATTAGCATAAAAACTGTAAATTATGTTTGCAAAATAATACAAACTGAATAAGATAATCAAGAAATAACAGAAATTAGATAATCAAGGAAAAAAAAGAAAAAAAAAAGAAATTAACAAGAACCAAATGCCAACTGCAATAATAAAATAAGAACCAAATGCCAAGTGCAATGATAAAAAAAATCTGTTCTAAACATATGTAATAATAAAAAAATAAGATAATCAAGGCATGGCATACTAAGTGCAATAATAAAAAAAACCTGTTCTAAACATATGTAATAATAAAAAAATAAGATAATCAAGGCATGCTAAGTGCAACAATAAAAAAACCTGTTCTAAACATATGTAGACTGAATTTTTGAAAACCTATTCTAAACATATGTTGACTGAAATTTTGAATTTAACTACTTAATAGACCCATACAAAAAAAAAAGGGATTATTTTTCATTTCATCCAAGAAACACCTAAACTATTTATAAATCTATATAATATATATATATACACTCACAATGAATACCTGTTCTAAACAAAAAAACCTGTTCAGAACTTGTGTAATAATCAAATTCTTCATGTACATAGCAGAGGTTGTTCTAAACCTATTTTAAACATATGTTGATTGAAATTTTGAATTTAACTACTTAATAGACCCATAAAAAAGAAGAAGATTATTTTTCATTTTATCCAGGAAATACCTAAACTATTTATAAATCTATATAATATATATATAATCACAATGAATACCTGTTCTAAATAATCAAATTCTCCAGGGATTGTTGTAAATCTATATATATATATATATCTAAACTACTGTATATATATATATATATAATGTATAATGTATTCTCCATGTAATAATCAAATTCTCACTGTATAATGTATATATATATATAAAATATAATCACAGGGATTGTATGTTCTAAATACCTATATTTTCTTCAATCGGTTGGAGCAGCGGGTCGGCAGCGCGGCGGCAGGACGGTGGTGACAGCGGGGGGACGGCCACGGTGAGACGACGAGATGTAGGAAGTAGCGGCCTATCTATCTCTTATTCGCTCTCTCGTTCTTTGTTTTCTTCTTCTCGCCGTCTGGCATAGTTGAGCCATATTGAGGGAATTTTGAACTAACTGGATTTTTTTTTTTTCAAACTACTCACCAAAACGACATCGTTTTGGTGAGTTTTATTTTCAGTTGTTGGATTGAATACTTTAGGAGATCACTGCAGGGATTCGCTCTAGAAGATTCTTACGCTTCAACTTTGGCAAAAGTAGTGGCCCCGATGGTGGAAGCACGGAAGTGAAGACGATGCAGGTGGCTCATTGGTGGTCACGGTGGCACAATGGCAACGGTGGAAAGTTGTGGGGTGGAAAAGAAACGGAGAGACTTTTTAAGGGCCAAAATGAAAAAAAAATACTAAACTTATAGGAAAAACATAATTTATTTGATTGTCTTGAGATTCAAGAAAGGCTTTTTATTTATTTATTTATTTATTTTTATTTTTGAGAAAAGAGTAAGAGGAGCCCAAAGCCGCATTGGAGTGGAAGAAACAAGAGAGGGACGAAGAAGAAGAAGAAGAAGAAGAAGGAAGAATGAGCAGCATAGGAACAGGTTATGATCTCTCAGTCACCACTTTCTCTCCCGATGGCCGCGTTTTCCAGGTTGAATACGCTTCCAAAGCTGTCGACAACAGTGGGTCTGTTCTCTATCTTTCTCTTTCTTCACTGGTCTTATTAGGGCTTTTTTTTTATATCTATATCTATATGGATTGCAATTTGTTGTTTGATTTTATTGGCAGGACTGTTGTTGGCATAAAATGCAAGGATGGGATTGTTATGGTAAAACCCTATCTCTTCCAAATGGTTGAATTGAATCTCTACATTCGTCATTTTAGGGCTTTTATACGTGTATATATGTGTATATGTAATTAAGCTGATATGCATTTTTATAGGGAGTGGAAAAGCTCATTGCATCAAAGATGATGCTACCCGGTTCCAATCGCAGAATCCACTCCGTTCATCGCCATTCCGGCATGGTATCTATTTTCTCCTTTCATTTTATTAGCACACATATATGCCTATATATAAATTTTAACTATATTTTTGCCATTATGTATCCATTTCTTTACCTGGAATACCGAGAACATGGAAGGACAATTTGATTCTTTTTGGGTTTGGAGACGGGGTATTAAGGATTTCCATTTTTTTTTCTTTCCATTTGGGCCACAAAATGATCAAGGTTGCCAGCTTACTCATTTTGGCTTTTTGTATTCTTTCCCCACCACATGACATGTACATTGACACAATTTACAAACCACAAACAGAAACAAGGAAAAATTCAATGTAATGGTGGTACTAGGTCATTACAAACACATGTTATCGCCATCCAATAATAAATCACCTTGTGGCTATAGTGGACCGCACCATGGGGCCATCTTGGCCCCTCCAAGATTTTGAAAAGAAAGTCCATTTTTATATGTATGCAACACTGCAAAAATTATAGTATCTCATCCCATGTAACGGCCCCCCAAATTAAATTTGGCATCTCCAAAAAATTTGGAATACCCAGAAACCCATATAGTTAGGGATGTGGCTTAGGTTGCAACTTTAACCCAACAACAACTGATTTGGAGAGATTATATTCATAGAATTCCTACCATCAATGATGATCTTACAAACTTTGTCCTTGCATTTCACAAATGTGTGCAAAATGTTGGCAACATCTTCGGTTACAAGTTCTTATTTCATGAGCAGTGGTCGAAATAGGATGCAAACAACGAGGCATAATATGACTCTTACAAAGGCAACGGTGACATTAAATGGTAGAGACACTCTAATGGGAGTTAGGGCAAGAGGATTGCTTATCTTTGGTGCTAGTGATTATTTGTTTCTTAGGTACAACACTGAAATTTAAACTATGAGACATTGCATGCCATATATCTAATGAAGCCATAAAAGCCATGCTTGGTTAGAAACCTTTCCTGCTGTAGTTTCATTGCCAAAAAAATAAGGGTTTATGCTGTTTTGTGCACTAGGCTCTAGCTATGGGATCATGTGACGTACATGAAAGAATATTTAGCTCTGGGCTCATGTGACGGTTATAAATTGGAACCAGAATGCAGATTGATTTACTAAGAGCTAAAGTAGATGCTGCTTATGGGAAAAAAAAAGAAGTCATGTATTAGTGTTTTAAAAAGCGCATGTAGGCGCGCTGCTAAGCTCGAGGCGCAGAGAGGCTCATCCCTGTGCCTCAAACAGGTCGAGGCGAAGCGAGGAATGGAAGGCGCACGAAAGGCGGTAAGGCGAGGGCTTTATTCTAAGGGTTGAGGGCTTTATTCTAAGGTGCAAGGTGTGGGCTTTATGCGCCTCATGTATTTTTTTACTCCTACTGTTGATTAAGTGATTTTTCTGTGTGCACACCTACAGGGAATTAAAACCCTTCAATATAAAAGGCCAAACATGATTAGAAAGTGATTAAAAAAAAAAAAAACCTGGGTGGAGATCAATTAAAAAAATCTATCGACATTGCATGGAAAAGAGAAAGATTGACATTCACCTTCTTTAGGTTCTTCTCTTTCTTCTCCTTCCGTTGTGTTTTCCTTCTTCTTCGCTGGTCCTGGTTCTCTCTCTGCCTCTTTTTTTCTTTTTTCTTTTTTCTTTTTCTGCTCCAGCCACTGTTCCTCCTTTCTTTCACTGGGTTGTCCTTCGCTGGTACTGATTCTCTCTCTACCTCTTTTTTTCTTTCTTTCTTTCTTTTTATGTTTGTACATGCAAGAAAGGTGGCTTTTTATTAACCTTTTCTTCTTTTGTTGGATAATATATTTGTGGTTTTTAATTGAATATTATGTTTAAAGATTATTTGTCTATTTTAAAATGTTATGTTTATGTTGAAAACTTTGCCTATCCTAAAATATTGCTTATATTCTACAACTTGTGCCTCGCTTTGGTGAGCCACGTGCCTCACCTCGTGCTTAGGCTATAAGAGACCTTATCGCCTCGGTGCACCATTGAAGTTCTCAGTTTAAATGTCCCCCGTTTATTTGACATGATATAACATCTGTTGATTGATTTTCACATTATTTTGCAAGAGTAGTTATTTACTATGTTTTCTGGTATTTATTTGTGCCTTGTGATGATTTACTTCATATATGAATTTGACAATATTAAACTCTCATCATAATTCTAAGCTCTCCTTTGCAATTTACCATTGATTACAGACAGTTGCTGGATTAGCAGCAGATGGGAGGCAAGTTGTTGCACGAGCAAAGTCTGAAGCAACAAATTATGAAAGGTTTATATTATGTCAAGTCAAAAGAAAATATATAGACAATAGATATTTATTCTATATTTTGGTTTTCCTCTTAGGAATTAATGGAAGAAATTTTTTAATAGTTCTTCCAATTCTGATATGAATTGATACTTTTGTAATGAGATCTTACTATGCTTATTTCTAATAGGGAGTGGTAATGTAATGTAGGTATTTAACATACATATTACAACTAAACGACAAATAATTCTTGCTATATTTATATATAAAATACATTAACAATAGGCGCTCAAGCAATTGGCACTCCCAACCTTAAACTTTTCTATGTGCCTTACTTCCACATCTAGTTATGCTTCCACTTAGTGTAACTAAGGTGGTGGGTGGGGTGAGGAGGGGAAGGGAGGGGGAACAGAGAGATGGTTGCAATGAGTATCAAGAGGTTTTAGAATAGATTTTTTTGTCTTTTGACCCATAGGGAAGATGAGGGCATTTGTCTTTTTATGCTTGGATATCAATGGCATTCATGTCTACACATAAAATAAGTGAAAAATAGGGAATGGAATGAAGTAATTTGGTGACTTAGCAAATATTCATTAGCCTCATTGAAGGTCAATTAACACAACATGAAATTTGAAATTCAAAAATGAACCACAAGGAGAAACCACATGGGAGGTCCTTGTAATTGTCACTAATCTCAGGGGAGGTTAGTGTAATTTACCCAAAGGAAAAGCTAATACTTATATGAATATCTCAAACATTTTGCATGAAAAGTGACTTTCAGACAACAGGACATTGGAGTGAACTGTATGGAAGGAACAACAAAAACAAATGGTGGAACATGACTAATAAAGTGATTCTGCCACTGCATTAGTTTGTACTTCATGTTCTTATGTCATCCTCTCATTGTGCAATGCATATTACTTATTTGTGTATTGTATCTTTGGAAAATCAATGGTTTGGAATTTGGATGATACTTGATGTCACTTACTACCTCCTATCATTTTGATGTATGTTGTCTTGCTAAGCTGTAATCTCATGGTACTTGATTTTAATATTTTATGGTTTTTACCATTGCATGAAAACATTTCACTTCTAGAGCTATACAAAGTTTTTTAAACCTGGGGATTCAATTTTGGAAATTGCTTAATCCAGTCTTCCATTTCATATGGGTGTGCCCACAATTAGAAATTGAGGGTTGTGGATACAACCATATAAGTTGTAGACTCTGCTTCTGAACTTTTACCATAAAGCTTCTTAAGGACGGTCTTTGAATTCATCACAAATGATCATCATATAAATGATCTATAAGGTAATTCGTTGACTACATCTTCAAACTTTATATGTACCTTTTGGTTCCTTCCCCCCTGAATGACATTGACTTTTATGAACTTACTTTTCTATTAAAACAAACCTTCTTAAATGCTTACATACATATTGCAACTATATGGTAACCACTAGACTGGTAGGTGCCACACCCATTGGACATAAATTCAAAGAATTAGTTTATCATAGAACGCACTTCTGCTAAGGTGGTTAATTTACTTATGATGGGTATTCTGGCCATTGGACATTTCCAGCTCTTTTTTGGAGTTTTGTGCACTTCAACATTTTTATTTTCTTTTCTTGGATTACTCAAATCAGGAATTCGGGGAAAGTTCTACCCCTTTTTCACTACACCTTTTTTTTTTTGCCTTGCCTAAGAATCGCTTTTCCGCTTTGAAAAAATATTTAGATTATATTACATCCATATCCCATGGTTAGCTTATTATTTTGTGTTTGTTTTGTCTTTCCCCACTATTCTGTGACTAGTTTTATTCTATTGAAGGGCTCTTTATGGATCCTTCTTTCTCTGGTGCTCTCTCAATGTAGATTTCCTTTTTTATTTATATTTAATAGAATTTTCAATTTCAGATATATAAAGTTGATATTAAATAAATATTCATATGATGAAACATCTTTCCGGAGTTAAATTTTTTTTTTCCCCACCTCCTGGTTAAACTTGGAGACATTTTTATTTTGAGTCCATATCAAGATACCGTAAACTACAAATTGATAATAAATATATTTATTATCCTGTGTTTACATCTCGCAGTCAATAAAGATTTTGTGATGATCTTGTTGTGCAGTACTTATGGCGAACCCATTCCTGTGAAGGAACTTGCTGAACGTGTTGCTAGTTATGTGCATCTATGCACACTTTATTGGTGGCTCAGGTGTTGGAAGCATTATCCTTAAACATTGTTTGTAGCATCTTTATGCATTTTTTAGTCGCTCTGTTTTTTTTATTTTTTTGATAAAATAATGTTTGATGTGGTAGACCTTTTGGATGTGGAGTGATTCTTGGAGGTTATGACAGAGATGGGCCACAGTTATACATGATTGAGCCTTCTGGGATTTCATATGTAAGTTAATTTTTGTCAGTGTCATTCTTTCATGTTTTGTCTTTCCATATGTCTTCTAATTTTGCATAATAGCAACCCTTGTTCTTGACAAGTTGACTCTTATAAATTTGTGATCATTAAATAGACTTCATTTGTGATGATCCAATCTTTCCCCTCCCAAACACACATTTGTAACAGAGGTATTTTGGTGCTGCGATTGGGAAAGGAAAGCAAGCTGCTAAAACGTAAGTCACTCACATCTTATTCCGTCTTGAGGAATCTTAGTTCCTTTCTAGTTGATCGAAATTTCATTTTGATGTGCATGGAGAATCTATCTAATTATATGACATGGTGCGAACCATATCTTCCACGGATCTTTTGGAAAATTATTTTACTTTTTGTAATAAGAAAATGGGAAAATTTATGTTATGGCTGTTGGATAGTGTGTTGTGTCAGGTCTTAAAACTATGTTCTTGTATATTTTGAGTTGTGTTTATGCTGTTTTGTTAAATGCAATATTTTATAAATAAATTAATATCTGCAATTAACATTTCATGCTCAGAGTACAATTTGACAATTTATCATCTTTTCATAAACATTGTTGTCAAAGTCGCGAATCAAATCGTGAGTCGTTTTGCTAAAATAGTGAATCGTGAATCGTAAGATTCATTTTATTTAATATAATATATAATTTTATATATCTATATACATATAAAAATTCACTGTGTTGTAAATATCAATGTAACTAAATTTTATATTTATATATTTGCAAATAACATCATGTAATACACCATGTTTGGTTCTAGAAAATAGAGTTTTTTGTTTTCTGTATTTTTTTGTTTTTAGTGATTTTTTAAAATATTTTATGTAATTTTTTTATTTTTTAGATACACCTAATTTAAATACGTTTAAAAAGTATAATATTTGTGAGGAAAAAAAAAACCTTAAAAAACGTGAACTAAGGATGCTACAAATACATTTCAGAAAAAAAAAAAAAAAAAAATGAAAATTCATATATTTTCGTATTTTGTTGTATTCAATGAATTTTTTAAAAGATTTTTGTACAAATTTTTTACTTTTTAAGTATATTAAGATTAATGAATCTAAAAATAAAAAATAAATTGATTGAATCTAAAAATTTTAAATTTTTTTTGATTAAACTATTTTAAAAAATGGGGTAAATTACACTTTAACCCCCTGTGGTTTGCCCAAAAAATACGGAACCTCCCTGTAGTTTCATTTGTAACACTTAAACCCATAAACTTAATACCAAATTGTAATTTTTGACAGATCTGTTTATATAACCAGAGCGTGAGATTCACGAACATAAAAGTGTAAGCAACACTCTCCTCAGCCAAAAATGTTACATTCTTGGACCAAAACACCTTTTCTCTCTCCCTTCATTATAGAAATATGCAACAAACACATTGAGGCCTCTGAAATTGCCCAGATTTCTTCCTCACCGCACAGCAAAACCAACCTGAAATTCAACGCCACCATCCACCATCCATCTCCTTCTCATTTTTCTTTCCTTATCACTCACTTCATCCAACAAACCAAGGCGATACCCACTGTGACACCATTCCCATTTGGCAACACTATAGCTAATATATATATATATATATATATACACATCTTCAAAAGCAAATCTCCAAATAAATTTGTCAAATGGATCGGACCCAGTTAGAATTAAAGGAAATTTTTTTTTTGAATTGTTCAATAAAAGTTGCAAATTATAATGCAAAGAATGGTTGGAACTTGAAATAGTTTTTACATCACAACTTCATATTTTTTTGGTCTAAGGTGTTGTATGTAGGTGGCTGCTTCAACTAGGACAGCCATGGCTTCTTCCATAAAAGGAAAAAAAAAAACCAGTGGTGAGTGCTAAAGAGACGAGAGAAGAAAAAGAGAAAGTGAAAAGGAATAGAAAGAAATAGTTCAAACTCACTTTCTCTTCTCCTTATATTTCTTATCACCACCATTTCTCTCTCTAAAAAATATCCGAACCCAATTTTTTCCTTATAATTCAAATTAGTAACAAACCCAACCCATGGAGTCAAACAATTAATAGATGTAACGTTTAGATTTTTGAAATTGCATCGATGGGATTCATGCCAACAAAACCCACTTTATCTTCTCCAAACCGCATGCACAAACAAACTTGAAAATATCAAATTTTCAGATTTAAACACACCACTTCAAGTCCTTATGTCTCTTTCGTCATAATTTCGTTTTGCCTCATTTTGAGTCGTTGGGTTCACCTCACGGCCTAGTTTTCATATCACTCCTTACACGCCTCATTCCACTTCTTTTTGCATGCTTTCGGAGCTCTGAAAATTGACCAAAAATAACTTTTTTTTCTTCCCCTTTTTGACATTTCTTCGGCCCATCTTTCAAACTCTATAATTTTCTTGATTCTTAACTGTTTTGCCCCGTTCTTTCACCAATCTCTTCACTTTGCTTTATACTTCATCCTATGCGACCTCGTTTTCTCACTTCTTGAAATGGGTTGTTTCGGCATGCCGAAATTTGTCCAAAAACCAACTTCACACATTTCAAAGAAATATCTCCAAATCTATTTCTTTCCTTTTCATCATCCTCCCTCTTCTGCTACGTACGTTATCCATAGCACTCTGTGAATGGTGGTTCTTGGTTTTGACGGAGCTAGGCAATAGTGGTCATGACGGTCCAACGGTGACGACAGAGTTCACGGTGATGGTGGTCGTGGAGCTTGTTGGTAGTGTGATGAACCTTGGTTGTGAAAATGGGTGAAGGAGGTGGGTTTGGTGTTAAAAGGTGGTGGTGATATGGTGCTCATGGTGAGAGAGTAGATGGAGAGAGAGATACGAAATAATATGAATGAAATGACCGAGTAGAAAATATCTAAGGGCATTTATGGCTTTTTATTACTTCTGTTACGTCCGTCCAAAATTACAATTTGGTATTAAGTTTAGGGGTTTAAGTGTTACAAATGAAACTACAGGGAGGCTCCGCGTTTTTTGGGCAAACCACAGGGGGTTAAAATGTAATTTACCCTTAAAAAATTTATTAAAAATATAAAAATATAAAAATACTAACTGAAAACTCAAAAAATTATTTTTGAAAACTGAAAACCAATCAGGGTAATATAACTAAATTTTATATATGTATATATACATGTAACATCATGTATATGAATATAACTAATTGATCTCTTCTATATATCTTGCTAGTTTAGTGAAAACGACGTTGTTTCATGCATTATGTAAGCAAAAACAAAAATAGAATTAAATAGCTATGAATTGTAATGAATCGCAAATTGAATTGCATGATTCACTTAATTTCCGATTCAACAGGACAATTCGAGTTGTTTTTGTTGAAAATCGTAGAATCGAATCGTGAATCATATGATTCTAAAAAAGAACTCTTATCTTTCCATTTTAAAAAAGGAACATGTAGGTTTATAATGCACAATTATATGTATGTGTGTGTTCACATGTATCCATACGCAATGTTGCTGAATCATGATACGTATCGTGTATCGTTATATAACTTTTGTATATTATATCATATTGTATTGTATCGTATCGTGTATCGTAAAATACATTAACATATATAAATATAGATGAAAAAATAAGTATTTTCATATAATATATAAGTATATTACAAAAAATAAACTACTAAATCATATAACTAATGACCAAATTGGTGAATTCAATCAAATTAGATTCATGATAGTAATTTAATTTCTTGTCGCAAAAGGAGTATGACGTCATTTTTTCTTACGAGTTTATTTAAATTTGGGTCCTTTGTATGAGATTTTTTTGATAATATAGTTCATGATTGTTCGATGAGTATTCGTTATATGGTGATTGAAAGTTAAAAAAAAAAAAAAGCTTATGGGGCCAAAGGTGAAGAAGAATGTAAAAAATAATTTAATCGTGCAATACGGGTTGAATTGCGATACGATACAAAATCGTACAATACGGAAACATATCTTACGACTCAAGTCACCAATGATACGAGTCGGCAATACGTACTTTTTTCCATACGATATGATACGTATCGTGGACAATAGATCAATGTCATGCCAGAGACTTTTTTGTGGTTGTATTTATTGCATGTTTCCTCATGCTAACATGTTCATGTCATATTGCCTTCGATTATATTGCACAGAGAAATTGAAAAGTTGAAGCTTTCTGAAAATTAATTAATCGTGCAATACGGGTTGAATTGCGATACGATACAAAATCGTACAATACGGAAACATATCTTACGACTCAAGTCACCAATGATACAAGTTGGCAATACGTATTTTTTTCCATACGATATGATACGTATCGTGGACAATAGATCAATGTCATGCCAGAGACTTTTTTGTGGTTGTATTTATTGCATGTTTCCTCATGCTAACATGTTCATGTCGTATTGCCTTTGATTATATTGCACAGAGAAATTGAAAAGTTGAAGCTTTCTGAAATGACTTGCCGCGAAGGGGTTATTGAAATAGCCAAGATGTGAGTGATTTCTTTTATTTCCCTGAAGACAATTTCTTCTATCAGAAGTTCTAAATGCTGCATTCAATGCTTTACTATTATTATTTTTTCCATTTAATTGGTTTTTAGTACACTTTTTATATGCTTGATCTTGTCTTTCTAAAGTTGCTTGTTCTTGCATTCTACATTTTACAAGGAGCATTAGTGTGTCGGTGTTTTATTCTATGTGAAATGCCCTTTGCAACCATCTGGCTCATGAATCACATTGCAGTATCATGCAGTTTCTACGCAATATGTATTTTGTGCTAGTTGGCCACTGAATTTGCATATTTAACCCAATACTAAAGTAATTGGTATTGGTATCGGAAGGTCCCACATAATAAAATATATATATTGTCGATGGGATAATATTATCCGCCAAGCCAATCCACAATGCTATGATTCCCATACGTCATTAAGATTTGTAATATACATATACATATAGTATTCTAACAAAGTGCCCTATTTCCATCTACTGATAGTAGGATTATGATCTTGCTATAGTGTATACATTGTGTAGTTTGCTTTCCAATTGAATTTTGGAATTATAAGATAGTAACAGTCCTATTTTCCAGATGGGAATTTACGAACCATAATAAAAACTGGGGAAAATATCAAGTCAGTCTTACTTTTCCTATAAAATTTCAATTGAGTCTAATTAAGACTATATTGGAAGGACTGATTCATGTTAATAGACTCGATAGAAATTTCTTGAAAAAAGGACTCATTGCGGATTTTTCTTAAAAACTACGTAGAGAGAGAGAGAGAGAGAGAGAGAGCTAATTAGCCAACACAAGACATTGACCTTTTCATTTACATATGTAACATTATTTATTGTAATAGCATAACTTTGTGCATTTTCTTCAGATATAAAATTAAGTCAGTTACAACCAAACAAGGTTTTGTTTAAGTGGGAACAACATTTTGATCATCAAAAATGCTAGAGATCTCAAGAGTTTTACCAAATGTCTCACATGGGTGTGGGACTCACAAAATTTGGTAAAACTTTTGGGGTTTCTAGCGTTACTCCTTGATTATTCCCTTATAACTTCTTATACAGAGACTAATATGCCTGCATAATTCTTCAGTTTTATAATGAAGTTATATATTCTCATTCTTATTGTGCAGTATTTATAAGGTGCATGACGAGGCTAAGGATAAGGCCTTTGAATTAGAAATGAGCTGGGTCTGTGAAGAGTCAAAGCGCCAACATGAAAAGGTAATCTTCCACCCTATCTTTACTATGTAGATAAGCTCCATATCACATCTCATAGAGCTTGTCTTTCAAGCTAGGCCGACATCTTCATATATTTGGATACTTGAAAAGAAATGAGAAAACAGACTGAAATGTATGGGCTACTACAATTCATCTCTTCAAATTGCAATTGGTTCTGAGAGTATATAAAACATTTTGAGTTATTTGGAGCCCTTAATGTGACGCAATGCTTCTAGTTCATGATCAGTCAATTTTGACCAATGGGACACGGAAACTTGTAAATAACACCAGACAATGTACAAAAGACCCAAGTTTTTTTTCCCTTTTCTTACCTAGTGTTGTCATTTGGGAGATTGGCATTTGGGTTGGATTCAAAGCATCTTTTTGACGAGTAGAAATTTATTCCAGGAAAATAGGATTCCCTTTCTTGTATCAGTGGACAAAAAGGCAATCCTATGAGGTGCTTCATATTTGCATATGTTTTGATTACTTGTACAATTGAATAGCTGTTGTGACTTCATTTTCAGGTACCAGAAGAGCTTTTAGAGGAAGCCAAGGCTGCAGGCAAGACGGCATTGGAGGAAATGGATGCTGATTAATGAAGCATTTTTCCTAGTTTGTGTGTTTTTTAATGGCTTATCGTTGTTATAATTGTCTCATAGATTCTCCCAAACTCGAATAGTTGCCAATTGGTTTGCGTGCCATTCTTCTTCATTTTTCTAGTATTAGTTTTCTCCTTTTAATTTTTGTTGTTTTGTTTCCTCTGTAAGCCATATCTTGGCTGTATGGTCATATGCAGGCTCCTAAAACAGAATACCAATGTATTCATCGACTTTGATGCCGTTTACTGACTCTTAAATACTTCTTTTGCTCTCTCTCTCTCTCTCTGTGTGTGTTTTTGTTTCTTCTTAAAATCCTGGGATCCCTTCGCACATTGTAATCCCTTTTTTCCTGGGGGTTGAAATCAATGACAGTGCTTGGACCCCACTTTGCTGAGCTACTTCAAGTTTGTGACCCAGAACAGGGTAGGACTTTTTTTGTCTTTTTTCAAGTACAATCATTTAGGGTAAATTACACTGACCTCCCTTCAGGTTTAAAAAAAAAAAAAAAACCTGATACAGACCCCACCATCCCCGCATACACGTGGGGGTCACAGAGAGGAAGGAAAAATATATATATACAAAAATGTTTGAGACCTCCTTTCTCTCCCATTGGTCAGTTTTTCTTTTCTATTTTTTTTCTTTTTCTTCTCCTCCAATCACCACCCGCCACGTATGTGTGGGGGTGGTGGGGCTGGGGGTGGTGATTGGAGGGGGTTTCTATCAATGCTCATATATATATATATATGAATAAAGATTGGGACCCATAGGATTGAATAATTTTTCCAAAGAAAAATGCTTGAGAGCTCTAGGAAATGAGCTCTAAACCATGCACTAATGACATGAAAGTGTGTGGGGTCCGGGGGGGGGGGGGGGGTGGTAGGGGTTGAAGTTTGAGGGAGTCTAAATCATTGTTGATATATATATATATATATATTTTGGACCAATCAGCATTCACTGGGGGTGGTGGGGGTCACTCCCTAAAAAAAATACGAGAAGCCTTACAGTGTTCACATACTTGTCTTGTGCCACCTCAAGAAAGCCTGATATAAATATGTCATACTTGTAGAGCTTATTATAGTTTTTGAATGTCATACTTGTAGAGCTTATTATAGTTTTTCTAAACTTCAAAGGAATATAGTGTAATTTACCCATTTATATATGTAGCCTGTTCCTAAGAGTGGGAAAGGAGAGCAGACAAGTGGTAATTGCAAGGGGTAACAACTTGTAAACATACAAGTTAAACAGAATCACTACGAGTGCTGCTCGTATCTGGCCTGCGGATGATAACCGCTGGCCTAGAAGCCCATTAGAACATGGAAGCATTGAAATCTTTGGTCAAAACACTATGGTATGAACTATCTAAACATAAGGCATGCCTTTTATTATTATTAGTTTTTGGGATAATGCCATTTGATGTTTTTGGTACAATAGAGGAACTTCAACATTTTTCAGACTCAACCGGTGAGAACCTCAATTACCCCGAATCCAAATGTGGTAGATGTTCACATGGGATAAATAAATATGTATATATAGAATTTGAAATTGTGAGGACAATGCTAGCAAATGTTTCATGCTTCAAAACAATGGTTGATTTCTCCATGAGAGAGAAAATCATGAAAAATTAATTTTAAAAAAAGCTACATGTTTATTGGTGTAACTAAGTCATACCCATTCAATATCTGGTTACAATACCCCCTCCCCAGATAAATGGAGAAATCAAAAAAAATATAAAGTTAAAAAAAAAAAAACTCCAAAAATTAAAATCAGAAGAAGAGTGTTGTGAGAAATGCAATTGCTAAGCCAACAAGGATGGATAGCTGAGAAGCTGCAATGCTTGATGAAGCTGCATTGCCACTGTTTCCAGATGTTGCACGGCTCGGCGACATAGCTCCTGTAATTTTGTTAGGGGCATAAGGTTGGAATGACAGGAAAGAAAAAAAAAATTTAAAATAACAATAAAATAAAACCGATGTAGTGAAAAAAGCAAGGAAAGTAAAACACACACACATACACAAAACAAAAATGAAAGGAAAATAATAGCAAAGAAGAAGAAAAAAAAAGAACAAGACAAACTAGCTTATGATGTGCTGGATATGATTGGAATTGTCTACATGTTTCGGGATCACTCTGACATTTTATAGATGATCTACACATAAGGGCTTACAAGGTTAATAACTTGAATCATTAGTGTGAGACTTGTGACAGAATGAGCCCAACTAGACAGAATCGGGCCTCTCTCTGAGAGAGAAGCCAATTTCATTAAGTTATGGGCACACTTTACTACTTCATAGAATGAAGTTGTTTTTAGAAAAAATGGTGAGAGAAAGATGGAAGGTTTGGTTGACGAATTACCAGGCGCTTCACTTGACATAGGACCAGGCACAGGATATCCAACAGCTGCAAAAATATAGCGCAGAAATTTTTTTTAGTAACAATAACTTTAAAAGCATCCACAACTTCAATCATTTTGAGTTGGTCTCCTCTTCAATTTTACGAAGAATTCATCTAATAATTCTACACACATCCAACGATCAAGATTTGACCAGATGAAGTAACCCCTTCTGTTTTCAATCTAACCCACCAACTGCAAACTCAGCATCATGGTCGTTGCAATGTCCTGCAGGCTGAAATCTTCGCATTTACGATTTCATAGTTGGAGAAGAGTTTAGGTGGTTGATGAAGAACGAGAACATTTTCCATTGGAGATGAGCAGAGCAATTGGATAGGCCATGATCAGAAGACTTGTCCACTCTCTAGGACATATAGGCAAGATGAAATCATGAATTTCACCATACTACATTTCAATTTGGGGTTTGCAAACTCTAACATATTGTTGATGGGTTTTTGCTTGTTTAGACATACATACAAGTATATAAACAGTGAAAGTTGAGGACGAAGTCAGATTTTATTGTTATTTTTGAGTTTTGAATCATTTACTACGTATGGTTGGTTCTTCAAGATTTGAGTAATATTAGAGCGGTAAAAAATGATGGGTTTGTAATCAGACTCAAGATTTTTCTGGTGGCAGAAGTTGCAACAACGATAATATATATTATAGGTGGGTGCCAATGACAAAATTGTGGGTTTGATTGGTTAAGTTAGGTTCAAAAAAAGGGTTGGTTGTTTAGTAAAATCTCGATTATAAGATGTATTGGTAACCATGTTGTGCATTTTAGATAGGATTGAATAATCTCCAATTTTAATAGGATTGGAAGAGAGTTGGACTCAATCATTTAGATGTTATATGATGAATTTTTAACTCTCATCTCTCATAAATTGAGTTAAATTTATGTAAGAGGTAGCATTAGGAATAAACTATATATTTAGGTTGTGAATTTATTTAGTCTTTTCAAAATCAATAAAAATAAAATATCGAAACATATGATATATCACCAAAATAAATATTGGTCAGTGTAAGAAATTGGCATGGGCAAATGTAATGTATAACATACATAGGTCCCACCATAGATAATATCCCACGTATCTTTCTTTTTAAACAAAACCCAAAATTTCAAAATGAGATCCAAAGTTTGGATTTTAGGTACAATTCATCACAATTTAATATTTGCAAATAGAATAAGGGAGGAATTACAGACATGGTAGTCAGAAAAAATATTTATAAAAGAGTAATAAATATTAATAATTAAAATTATAAACTATCATCAATATGTAATATTTGTTCAAAATACCTCCTGAATGATAATTTTCCCTAGAATCAACTATTAATAATTATTAATTGATTATTACACAAAAGTGTTTTTGGTACATTATTTAGTAGAAAAATATTTGGTAATTCGAATTTGTGTAGTCCGAATGTCTCCAAACGACATTGTTTTGGGAGATAAAATGATATCGTTTTAAGACATTCGAACTATTCGGACCATGAAAATTCAGACTATCGTTATATTTAGTATTAGAATTAGAGTGAAAATTATCTTAAAAGTAGATAATAAAAAGTATTCTTCTATCTTTTTCTCGTGGCCAAGACACTTGTCAATAATATTTTTAAATTTTTTTTATTATATAATACATTGATATTATAGAATTTTTCATCTAAGAAAAATATTATACTCACTTACCCGTCACGTGTAGGCCTCACGTGTAGGCCTCAAATCCCATGAATGCTTGTTCGGATGTGTAAATAGGTTTATTATTATATTTTCTCAAAAAAATAAGAGGCAATATTTTAATGGTTTATTGAGAAAATTATCAAACAATTTAAAAATATTATCTGATATTATTTATGTAGTGTTTTTGATAAATGAAAATTTTCAATTTACACTAAGATAAGTCATCATTTCACTTAATTATAATTTTGTTACTAGATTCAAACTCTTGGTATTTTCTTATAATTTTTTCTAATCAATTAAAAATATTATTTGTATTAACAAAAATGAAAAATGATAATATACAAATCTATTTTTTATAGTTAGTTTGTAAACACAGTAATGTAAAAGAAATTATTAGAGTAATTAATTTCAAAAAAAATATGATAGAGAGTCATATGATTAAATTTAAAAAATGAGTCTAAATAAACCTTGCTTGTTTTCACTTTTCAAAAAACACTTTTTAAAAAATTCTACTTTCTTATTTTTCGTATTTTTTTGTTTTTACTAAGCAATATTTTAATGGTTTAGTGAGAAAATTATCAAATAATTTTAAAATATTATCTGATATTATTTATGTAGTGTTTTTGATAAATGAAAATTTTCAATTTACACTAAGATAAGTCATCATTTCACTTAATTATAATTTTGTTACTAGATTCAGACTCTTGGTATTTTCTTATAATTTTTTCTAATCAATTAAAAATATTATTTGTATTAACAAAAATGAAAAATGAAAAATGATAATATACAAATCTATTTTTTATAGTTACTTTGTAAACACAGTAATGTAAAAGAAATTATTAGAGTAATTAATTTCAAAAAAAATATGATAGAGAGTCATATGATTAAATTTAAAAAATGAGTCTAAATAAACCTTGCTTGTTTTCACTTTTCAAAAAACACTTTTCAAAAAATTCTACTTTCTTATTTTCCGTATTTTTTTTATTTTTACTGATTTTTTTTTAATATTTTAAGGAATTTTTTTTTACTTTTTAGACACACCTAACATAAATACACCTAAAAAGTAAAAAAAATCTTTTAAAAATTCACTAAATACCAAAAATATAAAAAAATACAAGAATTCAGTACATTTTTTTTAATATTTTTATGTAATTATTAATTTTTTAAAATATTTTTTCACAAATTTTTACTTTTTAAATACATTTGAGTAAGGTGCATCTAAAAAAGTAAAAAAAAAAATTAAAATTTAAAAAATATTCACTAAAAACAAAAAAAATACGAAAATCAAAAAAGTCAATTTTAAAAAAATTTAATCCAGAAAACTCAAACCAAATAGACGTCAACAAAAATACAAAAAAAAAAATACACCAAAAACTTGAAGGAAAGGAGGGAAAAAGGAGAGAGGATGGAGAAAGAGAAGAGAAGAGAAGAGAAGAGAGAACCTGCACAGGTGCTAATAGGAGGAGTCTGAACAGCACAAACAGTAGGAAGATTGAGAGCCTTGTTGAGCTCTATCTGTATCCCTATAGTTGCACTTGTGTTTCCCAGCAGTTGACACAGACATATTGGATTGCTTTCCACCAGCCCCGCCAGCTCCGGACAACACGCCTTGTCAGGCTTCGTCAAATTGCTTCCAGCCTGCACATACGTTAAGCAATCCGACATGTTCGCCAGGCTCGTCATGCAATCCATTGCCCCCCCTGGCCCCGGAGCCCCCGCTCCCGTTGCCTCTCCTCCCGGGGCCCCCGCGGCCGGCTCTGGTGCTGCCGCGGGTGCCTGTGCTGCCACCATCGCCAGTAACAAGGCGGCGGTGGCGACAATTATGGTTGTTTTGGCAATGGTGGTGGTTGTCATGGTTTATGGTTTTGTGGGACAAATGTTTAGGAGGAGAGTTGAGAGAGAATGTTTTTTGGGGGTTGTATATAAGAGAGAAAGAGAGAGGGGACATGTAAGCCCTGACATCTCAATTAAGGAGGCTACACATTTACAAAATTCATTTTAAACAAGGTTTTTTAATTTCAGTTTAAAAAATTAATAAGGTTAATTCCAAACGAAGCGTGAGTGTGGATGCAGTGAGAAAGTGGAAAAGGAAAAGCGTTGTGTTTTCGTAAAAATTTGACAGGATTATCTGTCTATTAAATGAAGGATACCTATTACCTAACTGTGTTTAATTTGGGGTTGGGGAGTGAGTAGTGAAGGGGTGATCTGCTATTCTGGCTTTGCTTTCCTTTGCTCATTCCCAAACGCAACCGACCACATATTACTTCTCATTCACTACTTACTTGCTAAGGGATGGCATCTGTCGGTTGCCCCGCTAAATTCAGCTCCATATTTGATATTTTTAAGATGATAATAACAAAAATTATTAATTTTTTTTTAAGTACTAGAATTTTAATTAATTCATACCGTATTTTTATCTTTTAATAAATATTATTAGTTAGACATTTAGGTCTGCTTTGACATATACAAAAAAAATACAAAAAGTCAAAACATTATTAAAAAAATAAAAAAATTATCAGTATTTATAAAAAAATCTTTTTACATAAGCCAAGTACAACACATCTGATCAGTATTGAAGTGATGGTACACATGCCAAGTACACAGGCCAAGTCACGCGGGTGCACAAAAAAATTTGCATAGGATGGTGCTGTTTGGTTCGTGGAGACTCATCACGGGTTCCGTTTTAATAATTTGAACCATTCAATGTGAGAAATCGTCGAGTACTATATGTTTGTAAAAAATTACGTTAATCGAATATAGATAACTATATGATCAAATCATTTTTATAAAAAAAAATTGGACAATGAAGAAATTAACGGTTGAAAAAAAACTAATTTGATCAGATAGCTATCGATAACCGATCAACATGATTTTTTACAGGCATATCATACTCAACGAGTTCTACACATTGAACGATTCCGATTATCAAAATGGGACCCTTAGTGGGCCTCCACGGGACAAACAACACCATCCAATCTGATCTCGAACTGTAGGCAATCTGCTCCTATACTTGTTTTCTCCCACCGTCTAACTTCCACTGTCTAACTTCCTGGACAATCCAAGCCAGTAGGCAATTCATTATAGTAGGAGTAAAATGATAATGTTACTATTTTATATAATATTTTAATACATATTTTTTTGTAAAAAGTTAAAAAGTTATTCTAAATAACCATTTTTTTCTCTCTATTTTTTAGTCTAAAAAGTCAAAAAATGCACTTATTTAGGGCATCCCAAACAACCCTTAGTCTATTAAGTTCTAATTTTTATATTTAAAATATTTTATAGATAGTTTTATCCTTATAAATATTTTTATAAACTCTTAGTAATTTGGTGATGTGAATATTTATATTTGACGATGTGAATGTTTACATCATTGATTATTATACTGTCAGTGTGAATATTAATACTGTTGGCTTTTTGGCTTTCGAAGGCTATTATTGTGATTGCGAGCGTGCCAGCAAGGATCAATTTAGTCCTTACAGAAATTTAATTGCCAACCAATTATCAGACGACTGTGTTTTAGTTCTCTCAGCCTCAATGAAGAGGACTTTTACTGGTGGCTTGATTTAGGAGAATTTAAACAGAATACCAATCAAATAAAGAAAATCTGAAACATTTCACTAGAATGAAAAACTTACAATGATTCGAAGCGACAATCTATTTGAAACTACTCCTATGAATGAAAATGCAGTGCAGAATTTGAAGTACTGGAATGTAAAGAACAGGGTATGTAAAAGTAAAGTAGAATAAGACTGGTTTTTTAGATCTGAGTTCGGGGAATTTTTCCTGGGCCTTCTCTGCTATTTATACTGCTCAAAGATGACAGTCGAACTGTATTTCCAACCGTCGAACTGCTCCCCCATGATCGCTGATTATGTAGCTTCAAGATTAGCTCCACTATGCCATCATTTGCAGTTAAGCTTCCCTCATAAATTTGAATTTAAATAAGAATAACCACTGATGCCACATCACCTTGCATTTCTTTGTTGATCCACTGCTACTCAGATCTCATAACAACCAATATCAACTGCCACGTGTACGATCAGGATTGAAGACTTGAATGGTCTCCTCATATTACCCTTATTTTGCCACGCGTCAAATTGTAACTGGCTTGTACAAAATATGCAGCCAACATTACCTCCCGCACTAATATACCCAAGACTTGGTGATATTAGTGGATCAGGGTCTTTTTCCCACGTCTTAGAACATGCATGGGTTTTGCATCTTCCCAGAAATGCAACTGTCACTCACTATCTGTATGAAACTCTTGTTTAATCCTTTGAACACTTCCACCGTCTTAGCATTCGAACAGACTAATACATTTCATGGTCGAATTAATTTTTTCCTCCAATGATCGAGCACACGAAGAGTCATATGTTGATGTTGTTCCTCCTCGAAAGAACGTCCATGCATTTATTAGCCACCTTTACCCACATTTCTATATTCAGGTCATGGATGCCTTTGCAAATTATCAACCCTTGGGCTTCAAACATATTGCCCTTAATCCTTTGATTCAGAAACTCACAAATATGGACATGAGAGGTTCTTCTTCTGTCTCACCCTTGGACTACAAACAAATTGCTCTCAATCCTTTAATTCAGAAAGTTGCAAATATGGACATGGGAAATTCTTCTTCACAATTCTCCGTATGGGACAAGGCTACGATTTCTTCCTCTTCTAGTGCTTCTGACTGGACAAGTTGGTCAAAACCTGAGTCTTGTGATTTGAGGGAACGAATTAACCATCACTTTGTTGAATTTATTGGCCCTTTGGAGTTCCCTTCTTATGCACGAAGCTCGGTGGTCTATCCTTACGTGCCTATTGATCATCGACGTAGTTTGGAGGAGAATCTGCTTGTGGCATGGTATACATCCTCCATGCCTACAAAGATAGTGCACGCCACCCGACGCCCAGAAGAGGCACAAGGGTACAATCCGTCATTCTTAGCCCAAAAGGCGAAGATTTGTTCTTCTGACTGGCCTGATTATATTAATGCCCTTGTTCCTTCTACCCTTGTTCCACCTCTTGAAATAGAAGCATCCACACCTTCTCCCCTACCCAATCCTTGTTAGATAGAGAGATTAAGGCTTGCCCTCTCTGTAGATAAGATTTTTCCACCTTACAAGCCTCCACCTTCCCCCACTCTTGCTGAACGGAAACAAGCTCTACTCTTGCTCGCGACTTTCTCTCATTTGCCCTTCAATGTTCTTGAGGACGAAGTTCCTCTCAAGAACCTTCGATGGGCTTGTGATATTCTGACTTGGGGTCATGTTCTCAATCCCCTTGCCCAAGCAGAACTTTACATGTTTTTGGACCAGCTTCCGTTGTTTCTCCACTGGCATCGAACCTCTATGGCCACTATACGATCTTTAGACCAACTTTCGTCCCTTCGAATTCATGCCCAGTACGAAGCAGAAAACTTCATTGAAGAATTCGATGATTTTAGGAACAAAGATTCTGCGTACTGGGATGACTTAGAGATGGACGAATTGGAACAAAGATTGAGAGAAACAGCTTTCGAAATAAAGGCTGAAGAACTCTTTTACGAAGTGAGAGCTCATTAACTCATGCAGCCAATGGTAGAAGACATAGAGGACAGAATAAAGAAAGAACAGAAATTCATTGATTATAGCTGGACTAAATTTCATGATCTTGTTATTTATTCCATTCCTTATTTTTATGAGCTTGAGTTTGTACCCAAATAGGGTCATTCGATGTAACTGCTTTTGCTTTAATACAAGACTTCTCTTTGTTTGATATGGTTTGATCGTGTCTCTGTTTGTCTTTAAAAGCAATTTCAGAGCTTCGAACTGAACAATCTTTTCCTTCAAACCTGGATTCGATCGTTTAAAATGAATACTAACAACACGACCATGAACTTTTCTAATTTAGGGAATGCAGATTAATCAGTTCTAAATTGATCTTTTCGTTTTGAACAACAGTCCATATTTTCAAAAATACGGGAGCTCCTTTTGGGGGCTGCACTGTTTTAGTTCAAAAAGTCAACTTTTCTGAATATATATATAAACCAACTATGGGTTTCGATGTTTCGAATGCCAATTTCCCTTTCCAAGGAATTTCTAATTTTACTTCGAAGAACATCACTGTCATTGAGAAACCTGAAATAGGTCTTTAGTTCTTTTGAAGTAAACGAATACTTGAGCATTCTTGTATCCATTGAGTACGGAATGCGCTTCGAAGCCGATTCTTAGTTTCGAAGCCGTTGTTATTGGACTTTTGGCGCCAAAATCTAGTGTGTTATGTTTTGAACACCAATTTCCATCCTCACGGGGCCTCAAGTTTCACTTCGAAGGTCATTGTTTTCATTAAGAAGCCCAAAAACAGGTCTTTAATCCCCTTCTAAGTAAATGAATATTTGAGTACTCTTACATTCTTAAGCATGGAATGTGCGTCGAAGCTGGCTTCTTAGTTTCGAAGCCGCTGTTATTTGACTTTTGGTGCCAAAATCTGGCTTCGAAGCCAAACATTCTACTTCGAAGCTGGTATCAACATCTGGGATATGCTTTTTCCCTCCAAGAGTATCAATATTGAAGGAAATTCTTCGTATTCGTACTTTTAGTACTTAACGAATTTACGCGATATATCTTTCAGATATAAAGGCTTTTGAAATCCTTTTATTCCACATTTTGAAATCACTTGCTCACTCAATATACAAAACCCTTCACCTCTATTCGTCTCCCACTTCTTTCTACTCCCTTTTCCAGCTTCATCCTTTGAGAAAACGTTTTATCAATGGCTTCCTTCTCATTGAAAGTGCCAGTTGTAGAGCGTGCGAGCCTATCTGTAGCCCTGAAAAGGCTCATTAATGCAGAATGTGAAAAGTATAAAGCTGGGGAGAAAAGTGCCATCGACGGACGCATTTTCATTCCTCGTCGTCATGTGCAACAAGACTATG